CAGCTGGTGGAACTTATATACTAGCTAGTGGAACTTATACCACCAAACCCTCCAAGAGAAGCACCTGCACCAGGACTACCTAGAACATTTACATCGTCACATGGACACAGACACAGGCATGCACAAAACCAACACAAACAACCAACAGTTCAAAACCCTGCACAACAACAACAACCAACACAACAACCAGCACAACAACAACAACCAACACAACAACCAGCACAACAACAACAACCAGCACAACAACCACCCCCACAACAGCACCACAACCAACAGTTCAAAACCCTGCACAACAACAACAGTTCAAAACCCTGCACAACAACAACCACAAACAGAGCAAGACATAAAAGAAGTAGAGAACAAGGAAACCAAGAATTCTTAAAAATGCTAAAGGAAAATTATGGTTACCCAGATACTCTTGACTTTAGTGACAGATATAAAAAGCTATTAGAAAGTTCAAGGAAGGAAATACTGACCCGAACCTATTTAGCTTTATGGTTCAGCACCAAATGGGATATAATTTCAAACCTGGAAAATACAAGCTCGCTAAGGGATATGATTTAATAGCATATCATCAAATGACATGACTAAATTTACTCCGAGATATTTGGTGTCAGAGATAAATGACAATTCAACTATCTTCATGAAACGCGTAAAAAATAGAGACGGAACGAAAGAAGAAAGGGTTATGAATGCGGATGACTTAAATAGGGAACTTGTTAAAAACGGTCTCGGAATATATGAAATGCCAGCAGATGAGGTACAAGAAACTCCACAGGAAGAAGTTCAGATACAACCAGACATGGAAGAAATAGTTCAGCAACAACAGCTAGAAGAGCCTGAAGGAAACGAACAAGTCCCTCCTTTGGAAACTAACTTCACAGAACAGATGAAGATTTGGAACAGCCGAAAAATCTTGACCCTCAACAAGAGTATGAGTGAATATGGAATCTTTCCAAGAGTTTAAGAAAAATTCGGCTGACAGAGTAGAAGAATATCGAAAAATGTTTGCCGACATACAAAAGACTCCAACACCAGATGAAATATTCAGCATAGAATGGAAGTACTGAAAGAAAATGTACACAAATACAACAACCCTTTTTACTTACGAGCATATAACGTTCAATCTTTGGATGAACTCGGTGAAAATAAAAGGTTAATTTCAACAAAACATATAGAAATGAAACATTGTTTAAAGTTCATTCAGAACCTAACCAATATGGAAACAAACCTACTTTTGTTTCTGCAGACTATGGAACTACAATGAGATGGGGTCATAAAGCTAACCCGGATAGGTGGTTCATAAACTTACAACCACAATTCCAAGAAGTTGTAGACGCAATGGAAGTGAATGGTGAACCAGATTTAGCTGGTATTTTCAGCGCGGCTTTAATGCCATTGAAAGATATGAAACATGCAGATATTTTGAACCAGTATGAAATGAACATGGCTGATGGAAATATAACACCTGACGTTCTAGAACATTTATCTCAAAGAACTACACAGAACCATAGAGATGGTATATTTGGTGAAGAGTTTAGAAAGAGAGTTAGGGAGAGAGAAGGAAGAGAACCTATTGTACATGACCTTGCAAACGAAAGTTTACAAAATGTCATAAAAACTTACTTTGCAGACGATGAAATGAGAAGGGATGAATATTTAAGAAAACTCAAATGGACAGTACCAAATGAAATGTTAGTATTGAAAAACATGTTCCTTGACAAAATAAAACCAACTACAGAAATAAATGACGCAAGACTGAAACGTTGGGTAAAAGCTTTCCCATTCACAAAAGATATTGTTGGTAACATGGAAAGAAAACCAGAATGGCTACAAAAACATATATTTGGAAACGAGCTTATTCCATATGGACAAGCTCTGTTTGAAGAGCTTGAACCGAAAACTCAGGAAAGAGTCATGCAAACAATACGCGAAGACTCAAATACAAACTATGACAAAATCTTTCTAGGATATAGGTTACCTGAGATGGGCGACCAGAGCCCAAAGGCAAAAAGGACATGGGAAATTTGCAACATACTAGGTGAACATGATGCAAAGATGCAACAACTTAAAGCAGAGGGCAAGTTACCAAAGAAGAAGAGAAGAGTAGAACAAAGTGAAAGTAGTGAAGAAGTAACTTCATCTAGTGAAAGTAGTGGCAATGAAGGAAAAAGAAGAGTTAAAAACTCAGCCAGGAAGAAAGTAAAGCTTGGTCCACGTGGGTTCTATTATGACAAATAAATTCAACTATTCTATATTTTTACCCATATGAAATGTACGCCGCTCAGAATATAACGCCAACAGTTTTGGATGCCATGAATGGAAATGTTTCCGAATGGTATAACGAATGCGACAATGCCATTAGAAGGTCAGAAATAGTTCTGGAACTTACGAATATACAACTGCTGTTTCTTATGGAAACGTAGGTGAGTTTGGTGAAGGTTCTTCAACAACAGTAGATATTGCATGCGACAGGTTTCATATAATTTCTATTGACAACTCATTCTTATACGTGGAACAAGACATTGAAATAAAACCTTCTGCCAAGTTGTCTGACAAGAAAGGTTGCAATGGAATTTTCTATGTCGGATACCAATATGCTCCAGAAGTTTTCATGGGATATAAGATATATTCTAACTCTGACTTAGTTCAAACAGTAACATGGGCAAACTATGAATGGTTCGCTTTGAGAAACTCAGTACAACCACAAGCTAGAGAACAAACAGACCAGTATGCAACTATTGAGAAAATAAGAAGACTTGACCCTAACGTTCCAGGAGTTTATGTTGACCTTTCTGGACAAACTGCAGCAGCAGTAACCAAAGTAAAACTGAAACTTAGAGTTCCTTTGTCATCTTTCCTCATCTTCAGGTTTTTAAGATACTTGCCAAACTGGGCAGGAAAAATTTTCTATCGAACTTACTCCAAGCAAAAATAACTTAGTCATTGCACCAACACAAGACCCATTCACTCTTACTGTAGCTGGAACTGGTGGAGCCAAGTTCTGTGACTTTTGCAAAGACAAAGTTGACTTAGACTTTGGTTTCTCAAACTTCAACACTGAAGTAAACTATTATTTCAATGCTGCTGGAACTGCTTGGGACCCAGTTAAGTTCACATGCGAAAAATTTGAATGCAAGAGAATAGAAAGCAGACTTGCAGTCTATATGTTGGACCCAGATATTTCAAATGCTTTAGCTGCCAAATATATTGCAGTTCCACTTATGTTCCCTATACACCAAATATCTGTCAAAGACTTTGCAGGTGAAGTTGGAAACCAAAGTGCTGACCCAGGTGCAAGAACAGATATTGCTTTAACAACTGCAATGAAACATGCAGATACTATGTTTGTACTGTTCAGACGAACTATAAATGACTATTCTTGTTTCTACAACCCCGGTATTAAATATCATATAAACATAGATGGCAAATATTATCCAAGAGAAGAATATTCTACAGTTGAGGATATGAGGTCATACAACTTGACATTAGATGCTATGAACTTTAACAACAACTTCACAACAACCATTAACCCTGAAATGCAAAAGTTCTATTATGCCATATGTGAAAGTATGGACTCATACAGGAGGTCAAAAAACTCAATATACAAATGGAGACCGTTCAAACTTTTGGCTTGGCATTCCATTTGCTGACTCAGAAGACTTTATGGGTGGTATTTCAACTGTTGGTACAGTTCAAATACAATATACTGGTGACAGAGACGGTCAGATGAATTGAAAGCAAAGAAGTTTACAAAACCAATAGCACTTTTCACGGAGATGCTCTTTTGAAGATTCGTTCGATGAAACCTGCTGGGCTCCTCAGATTGGCATAACGACAGCTTCCATCGAGCAGATTTTGGCAGCAGGTCAGTAAGTTGTTCTTGAACTGACTTCTCTCCGTCAAATATTGACAGTACGCCAGTTTTGACATAAAATTGTATTATAAACTTTCCTTTAGAAATATCTGTAAGTTTTGAAGTTATATTTTTGTCTGCTTCAAGAACTTTCACCATTTCAGTTATACCAACTTTCTTTGCTTTATGAAAATATTTTGGTTCAGCAAAGACTGCTATTCTATAACATTTACCATTGTTTGTATAAAGAACTATTCTGTCAATGTATTTGTATTGTTTGTGTGTGTAAACTTTGTTCTGCTTCAATTCGAAGAGATACTCGAATACGTCCATCTTTTTATTCTAAGTAAAATGTCATTTCCGAAAAATAGAAGCGTAAGTGTTTCAAAAGGTTTTAATGGCGGTGGCAGATGTGAAGTTAAATTCACCAACTCAAACAAACAGTCAAAGTGTTGTTGTCAATGTCAAAGAAAGAGATGTTGAAGTGGGGAAACCATACGAAGACCAAGATGGTATAACAATTAGTTCCTGTAAAAGAACCAACATACCCTGAAGTTAGCAGAGACTTAAGTTCTGTTGCAGATATTCGAAACGACTACCAACAACTGAAAGACAAACTTCAAACTCAGGAGAAGATTTGTCAAGCTTTAAGTATAATGTTAAACTTGGTCGAACACAACCCTGTAAAAGTGAACTCATATGTCATTGCACCTCATGAAGTTTTGAAAGAACTATTGAAACTTTTGACAGAGGCAGACGATATAAACATCAAAGAAATAGAACCCGACGTTAGTTGCTGTGGTGTTTCATATAATGTCATTGACAAGATATACGTTATGAAAGGAGGTGAAACGTTGAACTTAAAATATAGTTTCCCAGACGTTATAAAAATATTTGACGACCACAACATTTCATTAAAATTTATTTGCTAAGTAAATGGCAGAAGACACAATGGTTTATACTATTACGACTAAAAACCCTGAGTCATATAATTCTATAACAACAAACTTACAAAGTCCTCAAGGACGATATTGTAAACTAACCTTAAACACAATGACGACTAAAGCTTGTTTTGCTCTTTTGACACCAGAAGATTTTATTGTTGTGAATGGTAAAAAATACTCCTTTGAAGATACTTACTCAGATATACCACCAACAGGTTTTGTTGACTTATTTAATACTTTAAGGACGAGTGTAACATGTGCTGCAACTAGAGCAGGTTTCATTATGTTTGGATGTCCGACTGAGTTTACTATAAACAATATGAGCTATAATACAAAACTTATATCTGGTTTTTACTACCAACAGTTTCCTATAACAGGAAAAGGTGTCATACAAGGAATGTCTGTTCCATTGACTTTAAGTACACCTATTTTATATATTGTTTCAAACTTAGGTTCAAAGTGTTATTCGAATGTCGACAGAAACTACTATGACCAAAAGATACTTATGCGTATAAACAACACTTTCTCTGCTGGTTTGCCTATTGTTCATTCGAATGCAGAGTTTTCAGCTTTAGTAAACTCAAACACTTTAGCAAACATAAACTTAACCTTAGTTGACGCAAACTTTGTTCCTGTAAAACTTTTATGTCCTATGTATTTGTCAATGACGGCAGAAAGTTTCGAATTGGAAGATGCAACTGGTGAAAGTATTGTATTACAAGAACAACTTCAACAACAAATAGCTCAAGAACAACAAATGCAACAAATAGCTCAAGAACAACAAAGTCAAGAATAAAAAAAATATTTTTTTTTATTTTTATAAAAATGTACAGAATAGATGTTTCAGATTTTTATGACTTCCAAGCATTCAGAAATATGTGTCCATTTCGAGACTATAACAAAGCAGTCGAGAATTTGAAACGTTTAGTCATTTATGTCGACTCTGCCCCAGAATGTTATGTTATGAAAGAATGGGATGTAGTCTTTAACAAACCAAGAGCAACAATAGTTTCAGAACAAGAATGTAAACAGAAACTTAAGAAAATAAAAGTTGTACAAGTTGGCATGAAGATGTTAGATGCTTGGGATATCTTATTGTCAAAGTTAGAAGATTTTTCAGTTCGTGGTATAAAGTTTTACACCTTCTCCAAACTTCTATTCTATCTTCACTGGATATAAATACGAACAAGTAGAATGGAAAGAAAATATTATAGAAGCTTGGTTAGACCATGTCAAAGAAATTATATGCAATGGAAACGAAAGAGTCTATGAGTATATCTTATGTTGGTTTGCAAACATCTTACAACATCCAAGTGCTAAAAATGAAACTGCTCTCATTATAATTGGAAAACAAGGAACAGGTAAGAACACATTCTTTACAGATATTTTGTGCAAACTGTTAGAAGGTTATTCGAATCCGAATATGACAAACTTAGAAAACATCTGTGGCAAGTTTAACTCCTCAATAGAGAATATGAAACTTATAGTTTGCAATGAACTTCAAAGTATAGATACAACAAAAGTTTTGAACTCAGATGCTTTGAAGAGTCTTATAACAGACAAAGTTGGAGTTGTTGAAAGAAAATATAAAGACCAAAGAGTTTGTGAAAATGTTGCAAACTTCGTTATGGTTTCAAACAATGCTGTTCCGATGAAGTTAGAAAGTTCTGACAGAAGATATGTAGTTGTCAGAACGTCAGATTCTCATATGCAAGATACAGAATATTTTGACGACTTAGCAGAAACTTTGACATCTGACTTTTACAACCACTTGTTCTCATATTTCATGACATTAGATATTTCAAAGTTCAATCCAAGACAAATTCCACATACCGAAGAGAGACAAACATTGTTAGAAGCAAACAAGAGTGTATATGAACTGTTCATAGATGAAACTGACTTTGAGTGTTTAGATGAAAGGTCATTGTACGACTCGTATAAACAATATTGTCAAGAGTATGGTTATATGACAGCGTCTAAACGAACATTCTTGGCAAATGTCAAAAGTCTTTTAGATGTTCAGAATGGTGTATATACAAAGAAAATTTTTTCTGAGTAAATTTTAAAAAAAAATATTTTTTTTATCCGATAGAAAAAGATGGCAAAATTCATCTCAGTAAACAAGTACATGTCAGGACTTAAAGAAGAACTAGACCCATTCACATATTTGAATGTTTACTTCTACCATTTTGAAAAGTCTTCATTCAGCAAAGTTTGGAACATCGAACCAGTTAAGTTTGCTATTGTGACTAAAAATGGTGCGAAATTTGAAGACTTAGACATAGAAGGTTTGTTAACAGTCAAAGAAAGTTTTGACAGAAGGTTCTCAAACCTTAAAGAAGGCAAAGCATACAAACTTGTTATACCTTATGAACCAAAGAAAGCAGACGACTATGAATATTATGAGTCTAAAGTTGTAGAAGTTCAAGGTAAATTGGGTAAAAAGATTTTAGAGTCTAAGCCAGTGTTTGCTCCTAAAGAGGAAGAGAACATTGACATTGACCCAGAAATGTTCTAAAAATAAAATTTTATTTTTACATGTCAAATTTCTTCTTCTCTGGCTCAGGTTCTTTCTTCTCTTCTTCTACTTTCTTTTCTTTCTTTTCTCTCTTCTTCTTTTCTGGTGGAGTTATGTCAAACTTCTCAGAACCATATTTTTGTAAAAGTTCTTTGTCCTTTAATAGCTCTTCTATTCTGTTTTCTATTTCATCTTCAAGAACAGTGCATGTGTCTTCTTTGCATTCTAAGAAGTTTTGTTGGACTTCATCTCTCCAAGAGGCGTCATCTCTGTCAACAAGTCTGTCATTGACAAATTTTAAGACTTCTCTGCTTAATGTTTTATGGTTCTTGTCATATTCCCAGAAACAGAACTTTAGAACAAATTCACCTTTCTTGTTTACACTATGTAAGATTTTATGGTCGACAGATGTTTTGCTGTCGAAAAGCTTGTCTCGAATATAGATGGCGAAATCGCTAGACATTTTCTAAAAGATAAAAATTTTAATTTTTCTAAAAATATGTTAGAAAAAAAGTTTGCTGACATTGACAAGAAATTTGAGAATGTTTTAAACAAGAACAAGAGGAAGTTGGAAAATGCTCAGATAAAACCCATACATGACAAGTTCTTATTTGCTCAGAATGGTATAACAGGTCTAATTGCACCACCTGGGTCGGGTAAGACTTTCACTTATCTTAAAATGGCTGCACAACAACAAGAACTAGATGAGAAGAACCCATTCTATGAGTTAGTAGTCATTTGTAGTACTTCTGGTCAATTTGACCAAACCGTCAATTCGTTCAAAGATATTATAAAGAAGTCTAAGTTAGTATGTATAAAAGACTCTGAGTTGTTAGATTGGATAAAGAAGTACCAAAGAAGAGTTTTGAAGTACAATGCTATAAATGAGTATATAAATTCGAAGTTTAAAGACCCAAATGAGGAAATGCAGAGAATATTAGAGAAGAAACACTTCAGAAACAAACAGAAAGAGATAGAATACATTTCGAAGAAATTGCAATCTTACGATTGGAAGACATACCCTCATAGATGTCTTCTTATCTTAGATGACTTTGCTTCTCATCCTTTGTTAAAGAACAGAGAACAAGACATGTGTCGAATTCTTAAGAAGCTCAGACACTTTAACATCTCTGTTGTCATTTGTGTACAGACAGCAAAGAGTTTAAGTAAGGATGTAAAGAGAATACTTACTGACATTGTACTTTTCCCCGGATTGTCCGAAGACGATTTCATGGAACTTATGAAAGAGTCCATGGCAGGTAAGTTTGACAGACATGAACTATGGGAGAAGTACAAAGTCATACAAGACCCTCATACTTCTTTCAGAATTCATATCTACGCAAACAAAGTTCAAATTGTAAAAAGTCAAGCTTGAAAAATGTAAGTGTTTAGTCTTAGTAAGATGGTAGCTTCTTAAAGCAAATACCATTGCTGAGTTTTATGTACGTGAAGAGAAGTACAATGAATTCAATTACGAGTACAATTGCAATGACAACTAAGGCAACTATTTTTGTCTTTTGCCAGCAAGGGTACTTCTTCTCTTCCAATGGTTCGGCAGAACTATACTCACTCATGAGAAATGCCAAAACGGTTTAATAGAAAAAGTGAAAGTTATTCTTCATTTTTTTGTATAAAAGATATGATTTTAGGGATTTTTTTGACGAAGTGTCAAAGTTCTCTTCGTAAAAAAATAACAGTTATATAATGAAAAAGTGTCATTTTTTCACGATTTCAGGGATTTTTTTGACGAAGTGTCAAAGTTCTCTTCGTAAAAAAATAACAGTTATATAATGAAATTTGGTCATTTTTTCACGATTTCAGGGATTTTTTTTACGAAGTGCAAAAGTTCTCTTCGTAAAAAAATAACAGTTATATAATGAAAAAATGACACTTTTTCATGTCCGAAGACTCGAAGGTGCAACACTTCCAAAATACCGACGAACTCAGAAGAGCAGCATGGCAGTATCTTCTTGACAACTTCTTTGAGTTCTCCAGGTACACCTTGGAAAATGCTGAAGAACTCCGACACAGAGAATTTGGAGAAATTGCACTCCAATACTACCTTGACAAACAAAGGGTAAACAAAGGGTAAACAAAGGGTAAAATAAGACTAAAAACTTAACGTTTAAAAAGTGACATTTTTAATGAGCTCCGAGTCACCGAGAAAACTTGGTCAGATGTTAGCAGCTTACTTCCCTGAGGAGGATGGAAGCGTTACATACGTAAGGTTCAAAAACAACGAACCTGGAATTGCGTACCAAATTCGCAATTACATGACCATGGAAGAGTACGAAAGGCTCCTACAAGAGAAACCAGCTCTAAACAACTCAGAAAAGAAAGAATAAAAAGTTTAACTCGTAATTGTTTATTTTTTTTACTTGTATGGGCAAGCTGCAAGAATGAAGTCGACTATCTCAGTCTTTGTTTTGACCAGTTGGACGGCTCTTGCGAGTACGTCTGTTTTGCGGTCTCCAGCTGGTGTCTGACCTTCGTAATTGCGCATGTTCTTGAGAGCTCCAACTGTAAATGGTTGTAGGATGAAGAGTCTCTCAGACTGCTTGAGGTAGTCTTCACGGTCACGAACCGAATCTGTGGTACGAGTCGAATCGGTCGATTTGAGGGAAGAGACTGAAAGCCTGTCATCTTCCATTGGAGCTGTAGCATACTCTTTGCGTAAGCGGTTCAGACCTTCTTCGAAGTCTTGGTCTCTCTTCGATTGAGATTGGAATTGGAATTGCTGGGGTGGAGCTTGCTGGGGTGGAGCTTGCTGGGGTGGAGCTTGCTGGGGTGGAGCTTGCTGGAACATCCAAGGGTTGGGGAAGTAAGGCATAGGCTGAGGAGGAGGGTAGTTCGGGAAGCCTTGTGGTGGGTAGTAACATTGAGGTGGAAATTGGTAGTAATTTGGTGGAGGTACTTGCTGGAACTGAGGTGCAGGGGCTGGTGCTTTAGGTTCTGCAGCTTTCGGTACTTCTGGCTTTGGAAGGCATTCAGGAAGAGGAACGTCAGTCATCCGTTTGTGTCCTGTCGGAAGGAAAATTTTTTCCAGTTGTCGGGAAAATTTTTTCCTGTCGGAAGGAAAAATTTTTTCTGTCGTTCGACCAAAAAGTTCTCAATTTTCGAAAATTTGAATGGTTTACGGACGAACAACAGGAAAATTTTTTCCAGTTGTCGGGAAAAATTTTTCCCTTTGTCCGGAAAATTTTTTCCAGTTGTCGGGAAAATATTTTCCTGTCGGATGGAAGGACTCGGAATGCTAGAAGGATTTGACGAGGCAATTTACCTAATTGAAATTAACGACTGCGTAAAAGACTACTTGCGCAAGGTAATGAAGCCCAAGGTCAAGTTCACCAGTATTTCTGGAAGGTCTACACTTCAGCTCGAGACTTCGACTGGAATTCCAATTCAAATACCAGACGGGACAGCCTACGATGGCATAAAGGACGCCAAAAGAGAAGCTCTTGTTAAGTTCCTAAACAAACGTCCTTGGATAAAAATACCAAACAAGGAGAACCCCCTACCCCATATGAAATTGGCAATTCAGTCTCTCCTTCACTTCTCGGGTCAGCCGTTCTACATAACCTGTGAAGGCGACATTCAGCCAGTTCTTCAGCCAGTTCAGTAAACATCTCATTTTAACTTCACTTTTTTTATGTTTTTACGCATGTGAAGAAGAAGCCTTCTGGTAAGTTTCTTATAGCCATATACATGGCACGCTTTGAGTAAAAACATTTTTTGAATGAAGCAAGTTAAATTCGTCCCACACCAATCTCAATGGACCGATGAAGAGTTTCAAGCTATGGTTGAAGACGTTGAGAACGACATAGACGGCGAACTTGAAGGAGCTCAAATCACAATTGCAACCAAAATTGCAGGAGTCAAGGAACAGATAGCTCCACTTAAAGCTACCAAAGCTACTCTTGACCTCATGGATAGTTACCGTTTAGATGTCAAGAGTGGAATAAGACAATTAAAATTAAAACTTCTAAACTACGAAGCTATACTCCAAAAGTTAGCAGAAATGAGAAGACTTTACCAGAGCTACTTACATGTAAGGGACTTACCTTCAAGCAGTCCGACCAAAGATGAATTTGTTGACATTGTCCCAATTTTGTCCGAAAGTCAGCTCAGATGTTTCGAACTGCTCCCAACATATCCGGAATATGAACGTTTGCCTGAACTCTTTCACAATCTCAAAAAACGTTTTTTGGTTCTCATGTTCCAAACTTTTATCGGAAGAGACAACAAACGTTCAGAAGAAGAACAAGATATTATTTTAAACTTGTTGTATGACTTAACCGTCATAACAAGCTTTTTGAAGTAAAACCGTCATTCTCAAACCACTTCATTTTTTCGATGTCCGAACAAGCACCGAAGCCAAACTCAATGGCAGATGTCCTTTCAAGGTTGTCAGACAAGCGCCCAGTTCAAATTCAAATTGCCCAATTGAACGCTCATCTGTCAAACACCATTAAGACTCTCCAAAGTAGTCTTATGGAAGAGATAACCAATCTCAAAGTCGAAGTCCTCACGAACCAAGCTTCCAATAAGAAAGTCCTGAACGATTTCGCGGAAACCTTGCGCCAATACAACATAGAGAACCAAAACCTTGCCCAACTCATCTACCGTTTCTTCGAAGAGATTGACACCATCTGGGCGGCACTCGGAAAGGACAGAACCTCCAACACCGTAATTCGTGAGTACCAAATTCAAGAAGGAATTTTCGAGGAAGAAGAGGAAGAAGAGGAAGAAGAGAAACACAAAGAAGAGGAAGTTTGGGCAACCCTTGTTGCCGATGACGCTTATGAAATTTCCCAACCCTACCCATACAAAATCCGCAACAAGGAGACCGGCAAGGTTCTTACCCCAGTCCTCAACAACTTGGGACACTTGAACCTTACCCTTCGAAATTACGGTTCAATTTCCATGGGAAGGCTTGTCGGTATGCAATGGGTTCCAAATCCAGACAAGAAGACGAGGGTCAGACACATTGACGGTGACAAGCTCAACAACCGTAAGGAGAACCTCGAGTGGTTCTAAGAGTAAAAAAATTTTATTTTAGGGGGAAACCCCGAGTAAATTTAGGTGTTTAGTTCATTAAGTAGGTTAAATTAAGGGTAATTTGGACAATTAGCTCCCGACCTCTGAATTGGACTCTTTCGTCATCCCAGTTGCATAGGAGGTCGTCCCAGAGGAGTTGGTAGAATTGCCAATCCAAGGACGATTTGTCCTCCCAAGCATTGAGGATGTACTGCTCGTAGAGTCTCATGACCTCTCCCTTGCACCAGACACCCTCTCCCTTGGAACGTAAGGCTTCTTCGAAGTGCTCGAATGCGATTGGCTGCTTGACCATCCGAAATGACACTTTTTGTCCGTTTGGTCAATGTTCGTGTCTCGTGCCATAGTCGACGAAAATACAGACAAACAGGTTATATATGAGTTTGAGACCAAGAATGGTGTAACTCGACCTGTCCGATTCAAAGACTCCGAGGGCGACCATGAAATTAAACGGAAATTAGCTAGGAAGGAATATAAAATGGACTGGTTGCCACCACCTCCACCTCCACCACCTTTACCTGTTCCTCAAGTAAATAAGCCTTTCACGTTCCCAAAAATTCCCACATTTAAATTCAAATTCGAATAAAAATTTTTTATTTCATGCAATGTTTAACTATTTCACCATCTTCTTTAACACCCCAGTACTTACGCTTGGAGAGGACATGAACTTCGGTGAAAATTTTGTCCAATTTGAATTGACCCATCTTCTCACCGACCATGCCCATTTCAATGAGTTTGTTGTACCCTTCTTCGTTCGTCATGAGTGCGTCAATGTTTTCATAGTAAACCACAACTTTGGATTTGACTTCCGAGAAGAATTTGTTGTAGTTGTCAAGGACTGCCTTTGCGAACTGAGGGTAAGACCAATGTTCGACAATAGGTTTTAATGTGGTTACTAAGCCACTTTGACCTTGAGTGAACTCGTACTTCAAAACAAAAGGAGAAAACCTTTCAACAAAGTTGTCGACCTTCTCATAATGTTTACTCTTCATCTCTTGAGGTTTCTTAATGGAATATCCCCATGTCGAATTCATAAGCAATTTGAGTGTCATTGCAAGTTTGGGGTTTGAAGCTTTCCTAATATCATACAGTTGTTGTATGACTTTTCCAACTGTATAGTTCCTTCCCGGGAACTCACCATCTTCGTTTGGAATTCCAGTCGGAATATATTGGACAAACCTCATGTACGCAGCGTTAAGGTCGACATAGTATATCTTTTCGTTTGAGTCGAACTTGTCGCAACCAATTGGTCCAGTTTGTGGAAATTCAAGTGAGTCTCTTATCTTCTGAGAAACTTCTCCTGTTATCTCATAAACATCGTCGAAGCAACCTGTTTCATATAAAACCTTCTGACCTAACTCAGATGCTCTCCAATACAATTTGACGTCAATTGGATGTCTCAATGGAAGTTTGTTTATAGCATCTTGAAGTTCTTGCAACCTCATTGGAAGTTCTTCTGGTTCGGGTTGGTATCCGAACATACCAACTCCTTGTGGAATTGTGTACTTCTTTTGTACTAGAACTTTGTCTGGAACAACTTTTGGTCTTGCTAACAATGAAAAGTTTGTTTCGTCTTTTGGTACAAAAGTTTCTGTCAGCTTGTCATCTGGAATTGGTTCCAACAAACCTTTCTCGAAAAGAATGTTTACAGCTCTGACAATGTTGCACTTGCCTTTTCCGAACAATGGGTTTGTAAGACTTTCGTTCAACATGAAGTGGTTGTGGACAATTACAATCTTCAACCATGGCAATTTGAAGTCAACAACATAGTCGTCATGTGAAGAACCTTTAGCTGTAGGTATGTTGACTCGGATATTGACATTTGCCAACGGTGCAATTTTTGCCAATTGACCTCTGAGAATGTACCTTGTCTTCACACATGACTCAAGATACTTCATTTTCTCATCTGTAACAAGACCAGAGTTCCTGAGACATGTAAGAATGCAAGGTTCATTGACAATTGTTTCAATTGAATTGTAAATTCCATACCTTGTCAAGTCAATGTCAGACTTATTTCTGAACGGGAAGTATCCAGCATGTTGTCTGACTGCTTGAGGGTTAGGTTGGTACCATTCGAACTTGACACTTGCAATTCCTTCAATTGCATTCAAAATGTCTGAGTCGGAGTCAACCATTTGTTCTCTCTTTGTAGTCTTGAAAGCGTCAAGAAGTTTTGCGGCTGTTTGTTCATTGCCATGTGCATAGTAAATGTGACCATCCAAATCTGTTATGGTCAATCTGAGATTGTGTCCTTTCTTATTTCCGTCTTGTATGGCAGCAAGTACTCCCATGAAGCCTTCTTTGTTCTTTCCTTCGTCAAAGTTTACTGTAAAGGTTCGACCAGATGTAATTTGACTTCTAACTTCACGGTACTTCTCATATGCATATCTTGTTCTTTCCATGGGAGCATGTGCGTCTTCACCTTTTCCTTTTTTCCTTCTCAAAGGATGCAATTGTTCGTCATGTTTCCAGTAGAATCTGGCAAAGCCGTCGTGTCCTTCAACTTGAGGTTCACTAACATCGAAAGGCATGTCCATAAGACGTTCTTCTTCTAACCTCTCTAGTCTGTTTGGATAATTGGCACGTGCTGTTTCCAAATCCATTTCGTAGCGAAGACCAGACAATTTGTCATAGACTTTTATGGGTCTTCCCTTCCTATATTTAAACTTCTTCGAAACTCTCCAACCATAACTTTGCAACTCTGCTTTTATTCTAGCAGATTTTCTATCCATTCTATATGGGGGCATTTTTATAAAAATAAAAAAATATTTTTTTCTTTACTTTACATAACCGCCTGCTGCCATAAGTCTTTGACGCCAACCCATACCAGCTAATGAAGGTTGACTTGGTTTAGTTTGGAAACTAAACTTTGGTTTTGGTTTATCTTCAGTTTTTGGTTTCTCTTCTTCTATCGGTTTTTCGTCACTTTTCGGTTCCTCTGACTTTACTTCACTTGCAGGAACAGTTGTGTCGTCAACATCTTCATAAATATCATATGCCATTTGTTTTTGTTTTCCTTTCAACTTTTTGTGTTTGTTGTAAAGTTTAGAATATTTCGACTCTAAGTCAATGAGATGTTCTATAATGAACTGTTGGTCAGTGAAGTAAACTTTTCCATCTGTTGTCTCGAAAGCTCCTTCAGACTTCAATATTTTATTTGTGAGAGTCTGTTTCTTTTTTTGAGATACTGCCGTTCCATTTTTATGAAAAGTGACTTTGTAGTTAGGGTTTGTATTTCCAGACCTGGCACTTTCTATTATTGAATTTTTCTCTTCATCTGTAAGTTCTTTGACAGGTTTTGACAATGGTTCTGAACTTTTTGTTTGTGGTGTCAAATCTACCGTTTCAACTTCTTCGGTCATTTCATCTCAGTAAAAATTTTAGTTTGGTTTGTTTTCAACTGGTTGTTGTTGTTTTTTAAGTCGGTCTAAAACTTCCTGAGGTATAGGAAGAACTTGACAAACACGTTGTGTAACTGCTGGAAGCCGACAAATCCATCTTGAACCCATTTGTCTCAATGCTGTATTGTTCATTTCATCTCAGTAAAAAACTTTACATTCCCCACGTTTGAGGCGGTTGAGGTTGGTTATTGTTTACCCACTGTTGTGCATGGTTATATCCTCTGTTAAAGAATCTTTCACCTTGGTCCATATAGTGTCCTGCTTGGTTATAGTAGTCATTTGCTTTGTTATAATAGTTTCCTGCTTGTCTTCCTACATTGTCCATCCATCCTTGAACTTTTCCTCTTGTTTCAGGATTTGGAATAAGATTTGTTGCATCTCGTGCTACATCCCAACCTTTCTGTACAGTTTGTATAATAGGTTGTGCTTTCTCTTTAAGTATACCTAATGTACTCAAAATCTTCCTTCCAACTCCAAATACACCTCTGGCTATTGTTCCCACTGCGGGTAAAAATCTGGATGCAACTCCTGCTAACGCGCCAAATAAACCCATTTCTTATGGGTTAAAAAATGACGAATCCAAACAAGGACCCCTATGTTTCTAAAGCGACAAAGAAAGCACTCATGGTAAAAATCTTTAGTTCAACACCAAATGCTTGGTTTATGGATATCTTGGAAAACATTCCGAGGTATAGAGAAGATGGACCACCATACTGGCTAATATTTGTCGGTCAAAACACAAGATACTGTGAAGCCATACCATTACAGTCCAAAAATATTTTAGATATCTTAGCAGCTTTGACAATATTGTTGACAAATACCATCCAACAAAACTGACATCTGACTGTGAAAGTTCTTTCAAATCAGATGATAAAAACTATCTGCGTTCAAAAAATGTAAACCAATATTTCATTGTCGACCAAAACCATTCTGCTCTTGGTGTCATTGACGGTTGTATAAAAATGTTAAGAGACTTAAACCAACCACAAGGTGGTGAAGCAAATGAAATGTCATATGACGACAAATATAGACACTTCTCCATGGCAAAGATGAGACAAGTTTTAAATATTTACAATAGCCGTAAACAAAAAGGTTTGGGAAACCACTCCCCCGAAGAAATGAAAAACAACCCTGACTTAGAGAAAGACTATATATTTAATAATTTAGTCAAAAGAGACAAACAAGAAAGAATGCCGGGCTTCAAACTTCAGAAAGGTGACAAAGTAAAAATAGAAATACCAAACGCGACCCATATGAAAATACTATTGACTATGACAACAATGGGAACCGACAGGTACTCACATTCGTGTTCGTAAAAATAGAAGAAAGTATACAAGAGAATATTATGAAGTTTTAGGCAAACATGGCAAAATGTACACACTGCAAGCAGAAGATAAAACTACTATTGCCAGACCTCGTTTCAAACTTGTCAAAGTTCAAGGTGGTATACTTTCAAAGACAGTTCCTAACAAATATAAGACAACTCCTGACGAATATGCTAAAGAAGTTGAAAATGACGACTAAGCAATTCTATACCATGCGTAAACTGTCATGTAAGGTGGCATGTAGTCTTTACTTTGTCCCGTTGTTTGCGTATATCCTGAAACGAAATGTGTATGGTTTCCTTCTCCCTCAGTGTACTCCAGTAACAATTTATAGCAAACTTAACGTTGTCTTTAACATCATATCCTTTACCTTTTGTCATTGCTGACCAATCCCAATATCTATGCTTATGCCAACCTGCTTGAGATGTACTTAAATCTATGTAGTGACTTGTGCAGGTAAATTTTCACCTGAAATCGTTTTACTTCCACCTGTTTCCTTTGAAGAGTTTGCACAATACAAAAACCTGTCGACTATTTGAGTCCAAGTTCCAAAACCAAGTACTACTTCTGGTCTGGTAGAGTTCATTGACGTATAAATAGAGCCTATAGGATATAAGTTTGAAGTATTTCTGTCTTTAATGTTTGAAGCTCTGTTTTGTTGCTTTCTTGTCATATAAATCTTGAGCAGTGAATTTAATATTATGTTTCCTCATGACATAAACATCTTTACATCTAATGTTTCTCATCGTCGTTATGTCGTCATCCGATGTTAAACCTTGTGGAAAGTTAGGAGGTTTACAATATAATGCATCCCCACCAGTTTCTTCAACCGTTCCTTCAATACTTTCTATAGCAACAGTTGTAAAACTTGTATGTGTATGGTTCTTGTCTGCTTTCTTCTCTAACTCATCGTTAACATATGTTTTATCCGCTTTAAGGTCTAAACATCCTGAAACCCATCCTGTATCGGCTTTACTTTTTAAAATCTTCGATGTCCATTCATGGTACCAGTCAACCCTTTCTTTCATTTCGTTATCTTTTCATCCACATATTCCTTATCTGCTTTCTTCTCTAACTTACTAGCCACACATGCTAACTCATCGTTAACATATGTTTTATCTGCTTTCTTTTCAAGGCTAACGTTTAAGTCTGTTATTTTAGATATAGAATGTGTATGTCCAACGGCACTTTCATGTTTAAGGTTCTTGTAAGTTTGTAATATTTGCAATGGTATGTGTATGAGTCTTTTTAGAATATTCGTTTTCAGCTCTGTCACTTCACTTGACATTTTATTGTCAACATATGTTTTGTCTGCTAGTTCAGATGAGTATGTTCTTTTGTTGCATAAGCTTTGTTAGCTCTTTCTTCTTCTTTTGCTATTGCATCGTCTACATATTCTTTGTCAGCTTTGTTGGTCAACATCTGCTTTCAAAAGAAGTTCATTTATAGGTTTCTCGTTTAAAGTTCCTTTTGTTGGTTTATTTACAAACAGTATGGTTCTTATTGTCTTTGAAACAGAAAACTCATCTGTCATTGGGTTTAATGTCAGTTTTAAGTTTCCTTCTTTCAATGACTCAGATATCTTAGAAATTTGAAAAGTTTGTTGTGTTCTTATTTAGAGCTTGTATAATGAGTTGTCGGTTGTGTTGTATTTCTCTCATAGACGCTGTTTCATTTGACATTTTTATTCTAGATAAAATATGCTTTCAATAGAAAAAGAAAATTCAAGAGTTGCTACAACTAAACCATTAGATGAACTTTTTACGAATGTCGGTCAAAGTTTGAGACAGAGACCGTAAAGCATGAAGGCTATCTTTTGACTACCCGTTAAGATGGTTAAGAGACCCATCTGTCACAAAAGCTATTGGCTTTCGAAGAGTAAAGTTTGTGTCTGTAGAAGATAAAAGTTTTCCATTTATTGTAAGGTTTCATATAGATTATACATCTGAAGGGCAACGAAAAAAAATGTGGGAAGAAATTGAGCTAATACAAGTTGACCTCTCATCTTCTCTACAGGCTGCATTAAAAAATATAGAAGATAAAATAAATTCATGTTATGCAAAATATGCTGATGAATATGCGAATACCAATAGCACACTTTATGTGAGAATTGTATATGACAAGCAAAATTCACAAGTGTCATTTCAAATCTACGAAGACAATCCAAATAAAGACGAACAAATATATACAGAATTCACTGCAATGTCATGGTATTATTTGCAAAGAATGTTAAATCAGAAAGTTGAACCTCCTTTAGCAAATATCTACAGTCGATATGCAAGAGATGAACCATATTTATTTAAAGATGTTTTCGACTCAGATGCTATTATAGTTCATGCTTCATTTTCTGGTGCACAAAATCTTTTTATGCTTGGCAAATGACTTTTACGAAAAACCTACAAAGCTATATGAACCACCAAGTGGAAGTATTTCAGACTTTCAAGTATGGTTTACAACAGATGGAAGAAAGAGAATAGTTCCATTATACCATGCGTTTACTTAGAACTTAGTTTCATATACAACTACTATCGAACGTTAAAAATATAATTTTTTAATACGTTGAGGTGTTGGATTTGGTTGCCAACTAGACTGTGGTGCAGGTTCAGGCTGTTGTATAACAGGGGCTTGTTCTTCTGGTTCAGGGTCTTTAGTATAATACCAACAAACTGACCTACTCTTTTACCAATATTTTTGACTCGTTCCAAATTCCTCTTCCTACGGTTTTGACGCCATTCCATATACCTCTTCCAACATTTCGAAAGAAGTTTCAATACTACTGAAGAAACCCATTTTACTATATGTAAAATCTAATGTCCGCCTAGTCTTTTGCGTTTCCTGTTGAGTTCCATAGCATTCTTTAACTGGAGCTCATACATTCTGTTTCTCCTCTGGTAGAAAACATATTCTGGGTCAACTCCTGTGTTCGCGTCATCTGCATAAAGTTGTTTATATCCCACTTCGGGGTTTGTATAAAACTCTTCTCATCTCATATTTGCATACCATGGTGGCAAACCTAACGCAGCGTCATTTGACATGGCAGTTTGCATTTGTACATCTGTTGGCACTTGACATAGTTTGCCATTGCAGTTTGTATTCTAACTTCATTTGGAATATTCTCTGGGTTTGGTTGTCCAGGTTGCTGTGCATTCGCTAAGTTCTGTGCGTCCATTTAATATTAGATAAAAATATCTCTTACGAGTACATATACTGGACATTTGCAGGCATTGGTTCATCTTCATATTCTCTATATCTTTCTGCCACGTCAAATAATAAATGACACAATGGAAAAAACCTAAAAGTAGTAGTTATTTAAACCACATTTACTTACTAGTAAAATTTCTTTATTGTGACACTTTCTCCAGTTTATAGGACCTCTCTCATATTCTATCTTGTCATATATAAACTCATAGTCATGTATGTCCTCTAACCATTTCATGACACTTTCCAAACCACTTTTATCGGATGTAAAGTAAAAGCATGGATGGTTATGTAAAACGTCTAAAGTTTCTAAAGAGTCTCTCAAAGTCCAGTCTACTTGGTATTGAAAATCCCATGTGTTAAAGAACGGCGGGTCCACTATAAAGAAAATATTTTCCTTGTCTTTATATTTTTCATACAACTCTGTCCAATGACATCTCACAAACTCTATACCCTCAATATATTTTTCTATGTCTCTTTGAAATTTGTATAGTTAAGATATAAAACTTTTGACATAAGTGTTTCAATGTCATGAACTCTTATAGCACCACTATATATAGTCTAGCAGATATACTATCCCAGTATATATTCTGCTTTTTTCAAAACCTCTCTCACAATATTTTTGTTATCTAATGGTATACGTTCCATCTTACCTATAGGTATCTTTTCTTTTAACTCTTTCAATATATTGTTTGTGTCTGGTATATGTTTGAGACGGTCCATATAGTTGTCGAAGTCATTGCATATAATCTTTGAGTCTGGGAATATTGTATGGCACAAATGGGATATATAGAAACTTCCACCGAACAAATCTACAAATGTTAGACCATTCGGTAGTTTCTTAAGTTCTCTCAATAGAATATCTTTACATCTACTCTTATTTCCAAAGAACGGTAACGGTGGTTTTGTAAAATTCATTTATATATAATAATAAAAATGTTTTTTCCTGAAAAGTGACAGAAAAGTGACAAAACATGAAAACATATATAATTTGTGAAAAGCGACACATTATATAATGTTTTCGACCCAGAAGAAGGCTTCTCAAAGTATACTTCCTTGGAACGCCTGTAACTTTTCCTGTAGCGACGATAGACCCTTACTTGTCCGGACAAAGTTATACTAAACATCTTCAGGGCTAGAAGGGGCGCAGCCCCTGGAAGCCCCTCATACCTGACCTAATTCTAAGTAGATTTTGTAAAAAATCAAGAAAGAAAAAATTTAACGTGCTTTATTTTTTTATAATAATACATATTATTATATAATTAACATATTCATAATGTTTTACCCTTTCAAAAATATAATCCTCCTCCTCTCAAATAAACGTACATACGGGTGGCCTCTTTTTTCAAAAAATTAAAATTTGAAATTTTGGGCTCAAATATTAGAGATTTTTTTAACCTTCAACGATATATGTTGTCTATATCAGATATGGCAGTCCCAACGGGAACCGCGGTAATTTACCGAGGTTTCCGCACACCGGTTCCTTTTTTTAGGAATTTTTTAGATTAAAAAATATGCTTTGTAAATCATTTTTTGTAAATCGGCAAAAATTTGGAAATATTCTGACGACAATAAATCTGGGAATAGTATTTGAAATACGAGAACAACCTATTTAAAAGTGTTTCGCTCGATTTTGTATAATTTCAAATTTTCGCATATAGCTTTCCGTGAATTACCGTGATTTTACCGCCACATCAATAGTTTACGACACTTTTCCCGTAAATTGAGTAGTTTACTGCACTTTTTCCGTAAAATTGAGTTACGGGAATCCGTAAGATTACCGTACCTCACTTCTAGTTGAAAATAGCATTAGTATATAATAAATAGATATATTATTCATATTTTTGATTTTGAATTATGGAAAAAGTGAGTTCAGAACTTCCAATTATTATTTGATTAATTATGTTAAAAATACTATAAGGAATTAAAATACATAATGTTGAAATTTGAATTACGGGAAAAGTGAGGGTGAAAGTGAAGTGAAAAAGTAAGATATTTTTTGTTGAAATAATCATAGTTGTACAATTTTGAAACTATATGTAAAGCTATAAATTGAATAAATTCAAAAACAAAAATTGTTTATTCTTATTAATAAATTTATATTAATCAATATTTGAACAACCCGTAATTAAAATTGAATTCCTCTTAAAATTTAATCCATACGTTAATTTTTAATTTGCTCGGCGAATGCCGAGCTTCCCTACTTCTCTTGTCATTCCTTCAAAAACTCTAATCTCATCGCACTTACAAACATCATGATTTGATGTATTGTCGAGAAATCTTAGACTTGTTTGTCATTTGATGATAGCATTTGAAAGTCATCTCGAAAATCGATTAACAAGACAATTTCCCAAACATCTACATACAAGTAGATGATGGTAAACCCATTAGAGTTGTTTTGCTATGATTCCTCTAATCTTATGATGAGAAAAATCATATCAAAACAGCTCTAATCGAACATTCTACACAGCTTAGCATCCAGCTAGTTCCAAGTAATGCGATTACAACATCAACGGCCAAAGCCTTTCAGAGTCCTTTAATCATTTCTTCTCATCTCAATGTGAAGTGGCCCCAAACGAACTACAAGCTGACGTTACAACGCATTACAACTCGGTTAATACGAGCATATACATTAGAGCTGCTTTGTTATGATCTCCCTCATCAATTGATGAGAGATCTCATTATGAAGCAGCTCCAATCGAACTAAAAACCTACATACAAATGAGTGAAAACAAATTCATTAGAGTTGTTTTGCTTTGATTTCTCTCATCAGAAGATGAGAGATACCAGAACAAAACAACTCTAATCAAACTTTCTACACAACTCAGCACAGTATCAATGCAAAGTAATGCGTCTGTATCGTTAACAAGCAAAGTTGTTTCGGGTCCTTCCATTTTGGAAGAATTCGGAACAACTTTGCGAATTGATAGTGTAAACCCATATACATGAAAGCGTGCATGCATAAAGACAGGTATTGTCAGCAATGACTACCTGCCCAGCTATGAGTGATCAGAGAATTACCATCTCAGGCTTTTTGAGAACGTTTCAGCCAGGACCCTCGTATGTTGCCTGTGAGAAAGGCATCCTTTATCTGAAATAGATGCTTTTCCAACAATCAAATTCGAAGATCTTCGACGTTGTTGTAAAAAGAGAAGGAGAAGGAAAGAAGAGGAAGGAGAGGAAGAAGGAAAGGAAAAGAAGAAGAAAAAAAAAGAAAAAAAAAGAAGGACATATTAAATATAATGCGCACTTAATAGTGCCGAGGCGGCGGAGCCGCCGAGGCGCGATTTTTTTGACCCTATATTACCGCACGGCAATGTTTTTCTCGATTTTGTACAGCCCTAATATCAGACCTCCTTTCTTTTTGATACTTAACATTGTTCCTAAATCTTAGCCGTTAAGGCTGTTCTGAAAATATTTTTTTTCGAAAAAATTCGAAAAAAATTCTTAAAATTCAAAAATCCCTTAATTCCTGAGGATTTTGGAAAAAAGTTTTTACATGAACATGTGTATATTATATGAAGTATATTGATAAGGTAAAAATCAAATTTTATTGCATATTCATCGAGAAAATAAACTAACGAATCCCTCAAAATTGAGAGGGTAATCCTCCTCCTCTTAAATAAACGTACATACGGGTGCGCCCTTAATAAATGATTCAGGAACTTTATAATCATTGATATTTCCTATTGTAACACTAGATAATGATCCAATTTTAGTTAGTGATGGTAATGATGGTGATTCGCGAAGTTTTAGATTTGAATTTGATTTCGGAAAATCAAATTTGATTGATTTGATAACGCTACTGAAACGAGATTTAAGTATAGAAAATCCTGTATTTTCGAAAACTAATTCTGAAATTGGAGATAAGAGAAAGGCACTTTGGCCGTTAAATGTTACATCTTTTGGAGTTTTGATTATGAGACTTCTGAGTTTTTTGCAATCATAAAATACTCCCATTCCCATTGTGGTAACAGTTGATGGAATTGTAAAACTTGTAAGATTCGAGCATTCCCAAAATGCATATTGTTCAATTTCAGTAACTCCTTCTGGAATCTCAACATCAACAAGGCTATAGCATTTAAAAAATGCATTCTTGCCAATAAATGTAACTGTTGATGGGATTTTTACATTTGTAAGATTGTTGCATTGAAGAAATAATCCTTCTTCAATACTTGTAATACTTGAAGGTATTTCAATGTTTGTGATACCATAAATGTATGAAAATGCAAAACTTCCTATTGATGTAACAGTTGATGGTATTGTTAGACTTGTAAGTTTGTAACAGTGTGAAAATGCAGTTTTTCCAATTGTTGTGACCTTTGATGGTATTTCAAGATGTGTAATACCAGAACATTCATAAAATGACGAATCCCCAATCACTGTAACGGTTGATGGAATAACTATACTAGTAAGACTGATGCAGCCATAAAATGTGTGTGCTTCAATTATTGTTGTACCTGGTGATATTGTTATACTTTTAAGACTTTCACAATATTGAAAAGCATAACTTTTATATGATGTGACACTTGATGGAATTGTTATTATCGTAAGATTTTTACATCCTTCGAAAAGAGATTTTTCAATTGTTGTAATTCCTGATGGGATTTCAATACTTGTAAGACCTTTACAATATGAAAATGCTGCTTCTTTGATTGTTTTGACACTTGATGGTATTACAATGCTTGTAAGACCATTGCATCCCCAAAAAGCTTGAAATTCGATTATTTTAACAGTTGATGGAATAGTCACACTTTTAAGACCTTCGCAACTACTTAGTAAGCCATTTGGAATTGATGTGTAACCTTCTGGAATTGTTACACTTGTTAGACCTGTACATTGATAGAATATACGTATTCCATATGTTATTTGATTTGATGGAAGAACAATATTTGTAAGAGAGGAACATGATTCAAATGCATTATCTCCGATTGTATTGAGACTTGATGGAAAGTTTACACTTTTGAGGTTTGTGCATCCTTGGAATGAAAAATTTCCGATTTTTACAATAGTTTCAGGAAGTGAAACTTCTTCTAGTTGAGTGCATTCTTTAAATTCATAATCGCTGATTTCTGTAGCACTTTGTTCAATTGTATATGTGGAAGATGAAGGACATTGGCATCGAGAGATTGAAGCTAAACAAAATAACATTGAAGAATTTGAAAAACAATTGTATTCAATATTTGAATCAAATGAAGAATAATTTTTATCGTTGTTTTATGAAACCCTTTATTTGTACAAATAATTTGAAAAACTGTTCGTGATTTTGATGAACAGATAAATAATCGTTTGCCAATTATATTTTTCATGAACGTTAAAAGTTCTAAAAATTTGAATGTTTCAATAAATAGCTCTACTCATAATTTGACACATGAATTTCATATTATGAGCCAAAATGAAAACCGTTTCATAAATAACCGTAAAAATTTTTGTGTAATTTACAATTTTTAAATCATTCCAACTGAAATCCCCGGCAAAATTTGTTATCATTTAATAACCATAATGGATGATGAAAAAAAGCCGTTAGAGAAAAAAAATTTTTGAGTCGATAAATTTCAGATTACCCTATATTTCCAACTCTTGGAAAATTTTCATGACCCCCTACCCAGGGTCCTAAAATGGGTATTTTCCTCACACAGACACCGTGGTTTTTTGAGCCGGGAAATAAATAGCGCAGACAGTTTCTACATATAGAGACATGCTTATACTTAGAGTTTGACGGGAATCTAAAGTGATTTTTTTCTGCATCGCGAAATCTAATGCAATCTCAAAATCATGAAGAAACTGCGAATCGGAGCGCAATTTTTTAATATGTTAATATATAAAGGTACCCCTACTACTGCAAATGCTTCAAATGAAAATCTAAGAAATCAGATTAATTTGATCACATTAGTATAGTATTGGTCAAACCAAAAACTCATATGTTGATATATAGCCTATGGATATTCATATTATCTACTTTTCATTGAATTACATAAGATTTAATAATCTCATAAATATTCTTTTTAATTTTCCGAATTCCGTGTGCATTTAGATTGCCCATACCTGTATATAATAATTCTAGAATGGTTTGGTTAGATATTAAGTTTTTTAGATTAATATTTTAACATTTTGATAAAACAAGCATTTGTTCCATTTTAGAATCGCCATTGAACTCTGGTTTGACTAACATGATGTTGTATGATCAAATAAATTCTAACTTCATGAGATAAATTTTGAAATTAGAAAATGCGATATCTGACTCAAATATTTATATGAACACATTTAACATTCAATGATAAACTAAAGTACTATACAGCAGATTCGATTTGGCTTATATTTTATATAATCAACTAATAATCCTATAAAATTGTGCTATTCACGTTGCTCAAAGATGTATTGAACATTCACTACTTGTGTATTGATAAAATTAGATATAGATTCTAATGTAAATCGATATTTTGAAAATTCATATATATTTTGTCTTGGTTTGGCATTTGATCGTGTTGAAACCGGAATTGCAATATATATCATCTAAATATATAACTATCAAAATATGAGCTATAGATTTTTAAATTATTCTCCTGAATATGAGTGACTAACATAATTATATTGAATTGAGTAGTAAGAATCTTAAATATTAGAATCTGACGATAATTTATTATAACTGTATAAAGGAACAAGACTATAAATGATGATGAAAATAAAGATTAAATTTAAATCTGAAAATTTGAAAACATTAAGTGTATTGTGCACTCTTGTCGGTTACAGTGTCTCATTCCGGGAGACATTGTCACTGCATGTCTCCCAGAATGATATCAAGTTCCCCATTCATAACTTGAATGCGAAACTTTGACCGACAAGAGTGTATTGTGCACTCTTGTCGGTTGAAAGTTCTGCAATCAGAAGAAGATTGTTGAACAATCCGCCATTCCAGGAGGCATGAGCTTGTTATCTCTCCTGAAATGGCACATATTTGATAATTCATGGAGCAGAACTTTGCACGCAATCAGACAAAAGATTGCGACAGAGTAACTGGGAAGACAGCAACTTGAAGCGATAAGCTGCTTGGGTGCTGTCTCCCAGATGCATCTGTCGGGCAAAGTCTCAAAGGAGCAGAACTTTGCACGCAATCAGACAAAAGATTGCGACAGAGTAACTGGGAAGACAGCAACTTGAAGCGATAAGCTGCTTGGGTGCTGTCTCCCAGATGCATCTGTCGGGCAAAGTCTCAAAGGAGCAGAACTTTGCACGCAATCAGACAAAAGATTGCGACAGAGTAACTGGGAAGACAGCAACTTGAAGCGAAGTTTTGTTTTCGAGTCTTTGGTTAAGAAATCTTAACAAAAAAACAAAGAAAAAAATCAGATAAAGTTGTCAATAACTTCATCAGTTAATGCTCACCTATGGGAGGTGTTTTGCGGGAGCTGGGGGTATCTTGGTGAGTACTCAGGAGGCCAAGAAGGGCACCCCAACCGACATTATCCTGATGAATTCAGTTGTCAACCATTCTGAAAACCGCCGAAACCGTCGTGTGTAGAGAAATTGTTTAAATTTATTTTTTTCAGATTTAAATAAAAATAAGAAATGTTTACTATTATGGATTTGGAAATTTTTTTAAATTAAGAGTAGGAGATGAGACAAATTTAAATTTTTAAGAAATATTTGGAAGGGCGTAAGATACGCCAACTTAAATATATTATCAAATGAGAGAAAATCACTCAACAAAAAAACAATTCTTTCAAAAAGTTTGACATTGATCTTTCTAATACATATTTTTGGAATGGCGTAAGATACGCCAACTTAAATATATTATCAAATGAGAGAAAATCACTCAACAAAAAAACAATTCTTTCAAAAAGTTTACATTGATCTTTCTAATACATATTTTTGGAAGGGCGTAAGATACGCCAACTTAAATATATTATCAAATGAGAGAAAATCACTCAACAAAAAAACAATTCTTTCAAAAAGTTTGACATTGATCTTTCTAATACATATTTTTGGAAGGCGTAAGATACGCCAACTTAAATATATTATCAAATGAGAGAAAATCACTCAACAAAAAAACAATTCTTTCAAAAAGTTTGAATTGATCTTTCTAATACATATTTTTGGAAGGGCGTAAGATACGCCAACTTAAATATATTATCAAATGAGAGAAAATCACTCAACAAAAAAACAATTCTTTCAAAAAGTTTGACATTGATCTTTCTAATACATATTTTTGGAAGGGCGTAAGATACGCCAACTTAAATATATTATCAAATGAGAGAAAATCACTCAACAAAAAAACAATTCTTTCAAAAAGTTTGACATTGATCTTTCTAATACATATTTTTGGAAGGGCGTAAGATACGCCAACTTAAATATATTATCAAATGAGAGAAAATCACTCAACAAAAAAACAATTCTTTCAAAAAGTTTACATTGATCTTTCTAATACATATTTTTGGAAGGCGTAAGATACGCCAACTTAAATATATTATCAAATGAGAGAAAATCACTCAACAAAAAAACAATTCTTTCAAAAAGTTTGAATTGATCTTTCTAATACATATTTTTGGAAGGGCGTAAGATACGCCAACTTAAATATATTATCAAATGAGAAAATCACTCAACAAAAAAACAATTCTTTCAAAAAGTTTAAAATTGATCTTTCTAATACATATCCTTGGAAGGAGTTTACATTCTCAAAATAAAAACCAGTTCAAAATCTTATTATTCCTTGAATAAAAATCATTTAATTTCAAATCCATTCCAAATCCTTAAATCTGTATTAAAATCATTTTGCCAACAACCAATACAATACAAATTACATTTCCATATATCTTCTTGTCCATTTTAATTTTTTATCTCATTTTATTTAATTTTATTTAAAGCATATAGACATCGAGATCCTTTACACATAGTTATATAAAAGTCAAATACATAATAAATTCTTAATTCTAGAGATATCTCAAAATCTCATTTTTTTTTAAAATACCTTTCATTTTTCACAGTACGATCACAACAAACAAGCCATTTACTAATTAACACATATAAGAAAAATATCAAATTACAAAACAACTTTCAATATCATTCGCATCGAATTCTATTTTTTCATAATTATCAACTACATGTTATTATATAATATATGTCGGCGCATATTCCACTCTATACAAGTGTCAGACACACTCACACAAAGCTGTGAGATTCATACCTCTATCAGTAGGACTTCTCAAATCAAGAACACATATGTTTCACTATCGCACATCTGTGTAGGATCTAATTAACCCTTTGGACTGGTACTTCAAAATTTGATAATTTGATAATTTCATGTGATATTATCATTTGCCTTTAAAACAACTGTGCGTTAAACTAGACACGTTTCTCTATCATAATGCAAAATACCAAAGTTTGGGAGATTCCCAAAGTGTCTGAAACTGATCATAAGGGTGAAAAACCGTTTTCCAGAAGTTGGGAACGTAGGGTATAACACCTTTTATTTTTTTATCTAAATTCCATCAAGTTAACGGTTCCTTTTTTATTATTCACAAGTGTTGTGGTTTGGAAGTGTTAATTTAAATATCAAATTATATTTTGCCGAAATTCCTGCTTTTTATTTTATTTTTTGTCGCCCATTTGGACCACAGGAAAATTAGGGCCATGGATAACGAAAAATAATAAATTATACTGAATAAAGATAACTCAAACTATTTTGGATCTAATGGATCATACTGGACTCTAGAATCACCTTGAGGACGTTTCAATAAGCCCATTTTGATTACTGCTGCTGTAATGCCGCAAATAGAAGTTAACATGATGAACAATAGTATACCACATGCAATTGCTTCTCCATCGCATCTGAATCTAATGAAAAATTCCGCATCTGGTCGGCAATTTGTAACGTTCGTACAAGAATACCCTTTCATCCATTCGGAAACGATTGGATTGGTGCTATTATTTTGTATTAAATCTTCGATCTTGTTTTGAAGATGATCTTTTGTATGAAGCGCCGAAAAAAATAAACTAGCGATCGTAAGTCCGATATTTGAAAATATTGCTGCAATGCAAAGAATAGTTATCAAAAGGTGTATACGGAATGTAAATCCTGAATAATATAGCGCCATTAATAGTAAAATTATTACAAAAAGACTTCCAAACGACAATCCACAAATTGACCATGATATATTGCGCATAAAATCACCTGCAATGAGTTTGAACATTGAATTATTGAGATTAATTGCTAAAAATGCATGCCATATTCCACAAGTAAGAAAGATAAAGAAAAAAACAATGGAAAAACGTGTTAATTCTTTCATGTATTTAGCCATTTTATCTCTGATGAGTGTATCGAGTTCATAGGCTGAATCCATTCCTGGAAAGAAACTTGAGCCAGAATTAAAATCTGTCACTTTTGAAATTTTTGCTAAAAGTTTGATCGAACTTTTGTTAATTATATTTCAATAGTACGTTTTAATTAAGGGTTTCGTTTTGCGAAAAAAACGTACAATACGCAATTTCGCTAAAAAAGCATTTAGCTAGCAATTTCGACCTTTGACTCCACTCAAGACGTCACTTTTTTAATTTTGCGGTATCATATTTTTGGAAAATCTTTATGAATATTATATAAAAAGTCTCTTTAATATCTATATTTCATATTTTTATCAATTTTTAAAGTTTTTGCGAAAAGTATTCAATTATTTTTGCTATTTGGTCGGGTAAATGTCAGATTTGCGACATTTTCTGATATGATATTCAGATTCTACGTTGATAATAATGCTTATAGAACCCTCTTGCTATTGTGTCAAAATTGCGAAACCGATAGCAAAAATATCTCGCAATATCAAAATTGAGATATTGAGTGAATTATGCATTATAGAGATTAAAAATCTGATTTGTGAAAACATCTCATCAGTTTCTAGCTAATTCAAAAATCTTTACTATCTTATTCGATTAAAATGAAAAGGGAATAGTTTCATTATGCTTTAAATGACAGCCTTATAATATAATCATAGTTTTCGCTCAATATGCAGCATTTTTTTTTCGAAATCTATGGTCAATATCCTAAATACTGATTGCTTTGCATTCATATCTCTTACATTTTCTATACCCACATCACTATTCATTGCTATTCCTATCTTTTTCATTTTTGTTTGTTTCTCATAATTTCTCAAAAAACACGATAACTTGATATTTGTAAATATCATACTTTATAACGTAAATAAGAACTTGACCTATTAAGAAAAGCAGTAATGAAAAGAAAATCTGAAATTCATAAAAATTACAAGTTTCTGATGACAATTAGCTTAATTAAACCAGGTACAAGATTATATAATTGTATTTTCTATCCAATTATCCATATAATATCTTATCCAGAAAAAATAACTTGATCAATACCAAATGATTTTTTAACTAGTAAATAAAGTATTTTCTTTACACACACATTGTATATCATAGTTTTTTTTTGGTTTCGCAAAACATCCAAAAACAAATATGCTATAAAAGTGACAATGTTAGCAAAACGAAACCCTTATTTTAATGGAAGCAAAAGGTTAAATCGTTTATTATATATTCCATTTTCATTCAATTTTTGATAATTATTGAGAGGGATTACGGATATATTAATAAAAATTAATTCAATTTCACCAATGAGAATATGTTACGAAGAAGATCTTGAGCGAAATTAGAAAACCAATGATTCAAAAGTGCCAGATTCAAGTTCGTAAGCTATTCCAATCCGAGAATCTTTGTAACCAAATTACCCAAGATGTATGATACATTCATTTATAACATGGTATATATTTGAGTTGGTTATGGGCATTGTTGATGAACAGAAATATTCAATGGTTGCATAAAATGAAATTGTCATTTCATTATTGAATTCCTAAGTGGAGAAAATCATGGTTTGCTCAGAAATCTCTAATACTATCCTGATACAAGTACACAATCATGAACTGCTGTATTCAATTGGTTTTTGTTGTAAAACTATAATAGACGGTTGTTTAGCTGACATTATCAAAGAGTAAAGAAGAAACTGATGTTTGCAAGCAGGGGTTCTGATTTTATTGTCTTTTCACGGGTATCTTTCAAAAAATTTAAGAGAGTCGGTTTAATTCAATTAAAATTTTTATGAAAATCATTGAATGTTTTCGGTCTTCATATCATCTATACGTTCAATAGAAATATTGAAACATGAAGAATTAGCGTTTCTAGAGTATATGCGTGAGACTGGAAACATCTTTACAGGAGATGAGTATCATTTTCGCCTTGGTGTTTATTTGACAAACAAAAGATACGTCCAGCAACATAATGCTGCTGGTAAAACATTTAAACTTGGTATGGGGCCACTTTCTCACCTTACACATACTGAGTATTCTGCCCTTCTTAGCAGAAGTTTTCACTCATCAGATGAAACCCAATTGCTTACATTGAAGAATGTTGATCCTCCTGAAAAATGGGATTGGAGAACTAAGGGTGTGGTTACTCCCATATGCAACCAGGGGCCTGCGCTGCATCTTGGGCATTTGGTACAATTGCCGCCGAAGAATCTCAATGGGCTATCCAAAAGGATCAATTGTTAGTATTGTCCTCTCAATGCTTAGTTGATTGCGTTCAGCTTTCATTCGGATGCGGCGGTGGTTGGCCAAGTGGCACTTATAAGTCTATCATGAAGCAGTTCAATGGCACATTTATTCTGGATTCTGATTACCCATACACTGCTAAACGTGGAGTATGCAAATTTGATTCAATGCCAAAAGCTGCTCCAATAATGACAACTTACGGAACAACAACTAAGTATAATGAGACAGCCCTAGCACTTGCTGTTTCATTAGTTGGTGTTGCGACGGTTAGCGTAGATGCTAGCAGAACCTCTTTCCAATTATATCAATCGGGAATTTACTACGAACCAGACTGCTCTACTGAAACCATGGATCTTTCTATGGCTTGCGTAGGCTATGGCACCGAAGGAACAACAAACTATTGGATTGTTAAAAATTGTTTCGGTGATAAGTGGGGAGAACAAGGCTATATTAGAATGATCAAGGATAAGAACAACAACTGTGCTATTGCTACAGATGTTCACATACCTCAAGTCATATAAATAACTCTCTAATATTAAATTTGACAAAGCTGAATATTATTTTTCATGATTTCTACATCTGAATTAAGATATGTTACTATATCTTAACTAGGAATTGCTTCCCTTTATCTTTAAAGCTTCAAAAAACAATTATCGTTATTCAAATTGATTTTTGATAGAAAATATATGTAAATAATTAAATCTAATATGAATTTATTTTACTTTTCATGGTCTTATTTTTCCAAAAAATATCGTAATTTCTTCAAAACAATGAAAATCTTAGTATTTTGAATGTAATTTTTGATTTTTGAATTTTTTTTAGAAAATCAAATACCTCAGATCTGAGGTCTTTTACATTGGGTCATTAAATCGGAAACAAAATGAGGAAAATTTAACAACAAATCAATTTTAACTGATTTTTAAGAGAATTCTCAATCGAACATCTCGATCCTTATGCAAGATGCTAAATTAAATGCCCGATTTTCTGTTACTGAGGTTAGTTTACTTTCTTTGAAAATCGGAGATTCGGACAATCAAGCGATAAGCGACCATGAGATCTAGATTATTATTTTATTTGTTCTAAAGTGTTCAAAAAGTATTATTCTTTTCAATATCGATAGATTATTCCCAGAAATTTTTTTCCCAAAATTTGAGTCAATCTTGTTCGATATAGATATTTACTATATCACTATTTCTAAATCCGAGAAAATTACATCGGAACATAGCGTTGATTCAGTTTATGCATTCGTTGATTCAGATTGAATTGCCATTCAATCTGATTGCCCAACTTAAAAATATTGCTGCATTGATATCTCTAAACGCATTTTTATAAAAAAATTGATTGCTATTGATTCATCCAAATTTAGGTGATAAAATTTAAAAAGGATTGCAAAAACATTATCTACAATAGTTACTTGTGCATTTTTGTGGAGTAAATCGCATTGTACATTTTGATTAGAAAAGTGACCTCACAATTTATTCAAAATATTCAATACTGTTAAAATCCAAAAGTATATTAAAAAAAGTGACCTCATTGTAAATAAATATTCAGAATGTTGGCTTCATTAAGTCGCTCCTACGGCAAGCTTAGAGCTGATGTTTCTAAGACACTTTTCACAGGCACAAAGTGGTCTCCAGAACACGACAAGTACGAGATTCCAAACCCAGATGAAATCATCAATGAGAATGAAATTAACGAAGCCTTAGTAGAAACCCGTGATTACGGCAAGGACAAGGCCAGAGTTCGTGGTATCCTCGAGAAGGCCAGAGATAGAGCCACATTAAAGGACGCTGTTGCCGGACCATCAGAGTTCCTTCTTGGCTTATCCATCCAAGAAGCCGCTACACTTCTTAACGTTCCAATAGAGGACTCAAATCTTATTCAGGAAATCTACGATACTGCCTTCTTCATCAAGAATCGTATTTATGGCAACAGAATCGTTCTCTTTGCTCCACTTTACGTCGCCAACTTCTGCCAGTGCTCATGCACATACTGTGGCTATCGTGGAACAAACACAACAATCGAGCGTAACAAGTTAACACCAGAACAAGTCAAGAGAGAAGTCGAATTCCTCGAAAAGATGGGCCACAAGAGAATCCTTATGCTCACAGGTGAACACCCAACCTACACATTCGACAACTTCCTCGAAGCTCTCAAGGCTGCTTCATCTGTCAAGACAGGAAAGTCTGGTGAGATCCGCCGTATCAACGTCGAAATCCCAACACTTTCTGTTACAGATTTCAAGCGCCTTAAGGCTCTTGGCTGCGTTGGCACATACACATTATTCCAGGAAACATACCACCGCAAGTCCTTCAAGAAGTTCCACCCATACGGTCCAAAGGCTGACTACGACTACCGTATTACATGCATGGATCGTGCCCAAATCGGTAAAATCGATGATGTTGGCTTTGGCGCCCTTCTTGGTCTTTATGACCACAAGTTCGAAGGCCTTGCCCTCCTTCAGCACGCCAAGCACCTTGATGAGAAGTTCGGAACAGGCCCACATACAATCTCATTCCCAAGAATCAGACCAGCCACAGGAACACCACTTTCCGAGCACCCACCACACGTTGTCAACGATGATGACTTCAAGCGCCTTATCGCTGTTCTTCGTTGCGCTGTTCCATACACAGGCATGATTATTTCTACAAGAGAATCCGCCAAGATGCGTAAGGAACTCCTCAAGATTGGTATCTCCCAGATCTCCGCTGCTTCCTCCACAGAAGTCGGCTCTTACAACAAGTCAACAGATGGAAAGAAGGGCCAGTTCTCCATCTACGACCACAGATCTGCCGATGAAGTTGTCCGCGACTTGATGAAGGATGGTTACGTCCCATCATGGTGCACAGCTTGCTACAGACTCGGCAGAACAGGCGAGGCCTTCATGAAGTGGGCTAAGTCCGGCGAAATCCACAACAACTGCCATCCAAACGCTATGTTCACACTCGCTGAGTATCTCATCGACTACGCTTCTGAGGAAACAAAGAAGATCGGTTGGGAACTCATCGCTAAGGAGGTCCAGAACATCACAGACGAAAAGCGTCGTAAGGCTACACTTAGAAGACTCGACCTCATCAAGAACGGAAAGCGTGATCTTTACTTCTAAGCAAAAAAACAATTCCATTTTTTTAGAATCATAATAAAGAAGTCTTAAGTATATCACAATACATTTTTCGCTTTTTAAAATGAAATTTATATATGCTTTAATGAAAATATTTTGGAATTTAGAAAATTTCCATTTAAATTATTTAGGCGTGTGGGCAATTTTAACGACATTTTTTAACGCGATACGAGCGTAAGTTCATAGAATGTGTTTTGAGGGAAACTATAAAAATCCAAAATAGAGGTAAGTGCGCCATTATTACCTGCGAAGTTACATGGAATAAATCGAAGAGTAAGTACAAGATGATCTTGCATCTTTCCAAGTAAATGAAATTTATTAAAATTAAGATGATAATATTCATTTATAGTATGTGTATGATGTGTTTTCAAAATTTCTTCAAATCAAATGCAATGATAATTTTTGAATAATTTTTTCTTGTGTATATTTCATTTTTTATTAGTGAAAATATCATTACATCAATAAGGAAAGCACAATCCAAATTCATATTAGTTAAATTAATCTACGACCAAAAGCCCGCCAAATTTGAATTAAACACGTTTTTTGATAAAAGTGTCATTTATGATTGTTGCATTTAGGGATAGTAGCCAATTTCGGTACCAATCTTGAAAATGCCTCGCCATGCCCGCAACATGGAAGAGAAGTATTGGTCTGATATTGAACTATCAATCAATGCAAACTGAATCACCTTGTCATGTTGCTCCACAGATACAGCAGTCTGAGTCCCTCGCTTGGTCATGTTGCTCCACAGATACAGCAGTCTGAGTCCCTCGCTTGGTCATGTTGCTCCACAGATACAGCAGTCTGAGTCCCTCGCTTGGTCATGTTGCTCCACAGATACAGCAGTCTGAGTTCCTCGCTTGGTCATGTTGCTCCACAGATACAGCAGTCTGAGTTCCTCGCTTGGTCATGTTGCTCCACAGATACAGCAGTCTGAGTTCCTCGCTTGGTCATGTTGCTCCACAGATACAGCAGTCTGAGTTCCTCGCTTGGTCATGTTGCTCCACAGATACAGCAGTCTGAGTTCCTCGCTTGGTCATGTTGCTCCACAGATACAGCAGTCTGAGTTCCTCGCTTGGTCATGTTGCTCCACAGATACAGCAGTCTGAGTCCCTCGCTTGGTCATATCACACCAGATAAATAAAAGTTCAGCTTCACAATACTTACCTGCTCTATTATGTGATTTTTTCCAACTATCATATGTTAGTTGTTGTATTGAAGTTGAGTATGAAAGAATAATGTTGCAAGATTTCTCACCAAATAAAAAATCATTAAAGAACTTTTTATTCTTTGAAAATGTATTTATGTTGAAAATAATGGAAGATGTTATTCTTGTTAGTTAGTTTACGAAGTTCTTTTGGAAGAAATTTGTTGAATATCTTTATTTTGAATGGGAATGAACTTAGGAAATTCACCACGAGCTCTTGAATAGGCAGAATTGTAATGGATGATTAGCTATGATGGGATATACGATGTTGGTTTGTTCTAGAATGATTAAAAAGTTTTCAGGTAATGTGCTGATGCATTACAAAAGATGGAAATTATTTAAATAATAACATAGTTTAATAATATTCAATTTAACTGATTAAATATTTGAAAAATTATCTAATTAGGTTTTTTAGTTTGAAAAATTAATTTTAGGCATAGTGTATAAAATAAAAAGCATCTACCGTGTCAGAAAATCGAAAAGTTTTCCAAAAAAATCATAAATTTCAAATTTTGAAATAAAAATTGGTACTTTTTAATATGTAAAATAAGAAAATGTATTTTTTTGAAAAATTTAGATAGAGTAGTTCTCTTTGTATTTAAGAGGAGTGAATTTTTTTTCTTTAACAAGATCTGGAAACGAAGAGAGAGGGTCAAAGTTGCTATTTGTCACTTTTCCACAAGAATATAATGGGGAAAAAGTTATCATATAGTTGATCTCATTCACTGAGGTGAGAGATGCATGTAGTGTAATGTGATAAACAGTGGGATTGCTATTCTAAGTCCTAGGTTCGAGACACATTGGCTTCATTTTTCTCTTTTTTATTGACGTAAACTATTCAATTTTTGTGTTATCCATTCAAATTTCAGAATTTTTTTTGCAGATTTCACGCTACATTCGAAGTTACCTTTTGTAACAACCACCACCGCCTACGAAAGACGAAAGTGTGTCACGATTTCACCCGGAAATCCGACGGTTGTTTAAGAGTAAGCACTTTTGGCACCTACTCCTGGAAACGAACAATTGAAATTTATTTTATCAATATCAGGAGGAAAAGTTAAGATTCAATATGGGATTGGTTGGGTGTAAGGTAGAGGAACTATTGTGTGATAGTTGATGCTTAGAGTTGAAATTGAAGGAAAATAAAACGATAAAAATAAAATGAATACTACCATGGACCCGTCAGTAATAGGTAGTGAAGAGAATAAATCATCCTTACCTCATACAACAACTCATCCTTAGCTGAGACAACAAGTCATCTTTACCTCAGACAACAACTCATCCTTACCTCAGTCATTGACTTATCCTTACCTCAGTCATTGACTCATCCTTACCTCAGTCATTGACTCATCCTTACCTCAGTCATTGACTCATCCTTACCTCAGACAAAAAGTCATCCTTACCTCAGTCATTGACTCATCCTTACCTCAGTCATTGACTCATCCTTACCTCAGTCATTGACTCATCCTTAACTCAGACAAAAAGTCATCCTTACCTCAGACAAAAAGTCATCCTTACCTCAGTCATTGACTCATCCTTACCTCAGTTATTGACTCATCCTTACCTCAGTCATTGACTCATCCTTACCTCAGTCATTGACTCATCCTTATCTCAGTCATTGACTCATCCTTACCTCAGTCATTGACTCATCCTTACCTCAGTCATAGACTCATCCTTAACTCAGACAAAAAGTCATCCTTACCTCAGACAAAAAGTCATCCTTACCTCAGTCATTGACTTAACCTTACCTCAGTCATAGACTCATCCTTACCTCAGTCATAGACTCATCCTTACCTCAGTTATTGACTCATCCTTACCTCAGTCATTGACTCATCCTTACCTCAGTTATTGACTCATCCTTACCTCAGTCATTGACTCATCCTTACCTCAGTCATTGACTCATCCTTACCTCAGTCATTGACTCATCCTTATCTCAGTCATTGACTCATCCTTACCTCAGTCATTGACTCATCCTTATCTCAGTCATTGACTCATCCTTATCTCAGTCATTGACTCATCCTTACCTCAGTCATTGACTCATCCTTACCTCAGTCATTGACTCATCCTTACCTCAGTCATTGACTCATCCTTACCTCAGACAAATAGTCATCCTTACCTCAGTCATTGACTCATCCTTACCTCAGTCATTGACTCATCCTTACCTCAGTCATTGACTCATCCTTACCTCAGACAAAAAGTCATCCTTATCTCAGTCATTGACTTATCCTTACCTCAGTCATTGACTCATCCTTACCTCAGTCATTGACTCATCCTTACCTCAGTCATTGACTCATCCTTACCTCAGACAAAAAGTCATCCTTACCTCAGTCATTGACTCATCCTTACCTCAGTCATTGACTCATCCTTACCTCAGACAAAAAGTCATCCTTACCTCAGTCATTGACTTATCCTTACCTCAGTCATTGACTCATCCTTACCTCAGACAAAAAGTCATCCTTATCTCAGTCATTGACTTATCCTTACCTCAGACAAAAAGTCATCCTTACCTCAGTCATTGACTCATCCTTACCTCAGTCATTGACTCATCCTTACCTCAGACAAAAAGTCATCCTTACCTCAGTCATTGACTCATCCTTACCTCAGTCATTGACTCATCCTTACCTCAGACAAAAAGTCATCCTTATCTCAGTCATTGACTTATCCTTACCTCAGTCATTGACTCATCCTTACCTCAGTCATTGACTCATCCTTACCTCAGTCATTGACTCATCCTTACCTCAGACAAAAAGTCATCCTTACCTCAGTCATTGACTCATCCTTACCTCAGTCATTGACTCATCCTTACCTCAGACAAATAGTCATCCTTACCTCAGTCATAGACTCATCCTTACCTCAGTCATTGACTCATCCTTACCTCAGACAAAAAGTCATCCTTACCTCAGTCATTGACTCATCCTTACCTCAGTCATTGACTCATCCTTACCTCAGACAACAACTCATCCTTACCTCAGTCTCTCTCTTTGACATCCCACACTCAGTCTCTCTCTTTGACATCCAACACTCAGTCTCTCTTTGACATCCAACACTCAGTCTCTCTTTGACATCCAACACGAATAAAATCTTTGATAACTCAATGAATACTTGTCCAGTGATTCTGAATCTACACCGGCCAGAGATTCATATTTCGTTGCCAAATCGCGAAAATATTCATTATTGACAAAGTTATATCTATAATAGTATTGAACTAAAATATGGTTTTGAAAATTTAATATAATAAAATCATTTTGAATTTAAATGTAAAGTTCTGGTAAGGAGTTAAATTAAGAAAGAATAATTGAGTAATTGAGAGATATTTGATAAGTTAGGGAGAAAATTTCACATACATTGAAGTAAATATATGTTATTGCAAGAGTTAGGATGAGTCAATGACTGAGGTAAGGATGACTATTTGTCTGAGGTAAGGATGAGTCAATGACTGAGGTAAGGATGAGTATATGACTGAGGTAAGGATGAGTCTATGACTGAGGTAAGGATGACTTTTTGTCTGAGGTAAGGATGAGTCTATGACTGAGGTAAGGATGACTTTTTGTCTGAGGTAAGGATGAGTATATGTCTGAGGTAAGGATGAGTCAATAACTGAGGTAAGGATGACTTTTTGTCTGAGGTAAGGATGAGTCAATGACTGAGGTAAGGATGAGTCAATAACTGAGGTAAGGATGAGTATATGACTGAGGTAAGGATGAGTCTATGACTGAGGTAAGGATGAGTATATGACTGAGGTAAGGATGAGTCTATGACTGAGGTAAGGATGAGTTGT